TTTATTAGAGTACAGGTTCTCAAAGTAGGTGTTCATGATCCTCTGGATTTCTTTCGGATCTGTTGTGACTTCGCCTTTTTCATTCCTAATTGCATGGATCTGAGCCTTTTCTTTCCTTTTTTTGATAAGATTAGCTAAGGGTTTGTCAATTTTATTTATTCTTTCAAAAAACCAGCTCTTTGTTTCATTTATTTTTTGTATCGTTTTCTTAATTTCAATTGCATTGATTTCTGCTCGGATCTTTATAATTTCCTCTCTTGTTCGAGCTTTGGGTTTTTCTTGCTCTTGTTTTTCTAGGAGTCTAAGTTTCATCGTTAAGTTGTTTATTTGAGCCCGCTCTGTTTTCCTAGTGTGGGCATTCAATGTTATGAATTTTCCACGTAGAACTGCTTTCATTGTGTCCCAAAGATTCCTGTATGTTGTATTGGCATTCTCATTTATTTGTAAAAACTGTCTAATTTCTTCTTTAATTTCCTCTGTAATCCATTGATTGTTTAGGAGAGTGTTGTTCAGTTTCCATGTGCTTGTGAAGTTTCTATAGTTTCTTGTGCTATTGATGTCTAGTTTGATTGCACTATGATCTGATAATAAACAGGGGATGACTTCAATTTTTTTGCATTTATTTAGACCTGTTTTGTGAGCCAGTATGTGGTCTATTTTGGAGAATGATCCATGTGCAGCCGAAAAGAATGTATATTCTGGTTTTTGGGGGTGGAATACTCTATAAACATCTATTAAGTCCATGTGTTCCAAAGCTTGGTTCAGTTCTATTATTTCATTGTTGATTTTCTGCCTAGTAGATCTGTCAATTTGTGATAGTGGGGTATTTAAATCCCCCACTACAATTGTATTAGTGCTTATTTGGTTTTTCATGTTACTTAATATTTGTTTTATATAGTTGGGGGCATTTATATTTGGTGCATATATGTTTATGATTGTCAGCTCTTCCTCTTGAATTGTTCCCTTTACAAGGATGTAGTGTCCTTCTTTGTCTCTCTTAATGAGTTTTGGTTTGAAATTTACTTTATCTGAGAATAAGATTGCTACCCCTGCTTTTTTCTGGACTCCTGACGCATGGAGAATTGTTTTCCATCCTTTCACTTTCAGTCTATGGACTTCCTTTTGCACTAGGTGTGTTTCTTGTATACAACATATTGTTGGATTTTGCTTCTTAATCCATTCTGCCAATCTGTTTCTCTTGATTGGTGAATTGAGGCCATTAACATTGATGGTTACAACTGATATATTTTGACTTATTCTTGTCATGTTTTTGTCCATTTGTTGACTCTTTTTACTTTTTCTCCCATCTCCTTTTAGTTTCTTGCCTTGCCTATTTGATTTGGTCTGTTGGGCCTCATGTTATTGTGAATTTCGTTGTCCTTTTCTAGGATATTGTTTAGAATTCCTTGCAGTGCTGGTTTGGTGTTCATGAAATTTCTCAGGTGCTCTTTGTCGTGGAAGTATTTTATTTCCCCATCTATTTTGAAAGAGAGTTTTGCAGGATACAAAAGTCTAGGTTGGAGATTCTTTTCTTTTAGGACTTGGAATACCTCACTCCAGGCTCTCCTTGACCTAAGGGTTTGTGTTGAAAAGTCTGCTGTGATTCTAATGGGCTTCCCTTTGCATGTGATTTGTTTCTTTTCTCTTACTGCTTGTAGTATTTTGTTTTTCTGTTGGATTTCTGGAATCTTGATTATTATATGTCTAGGTGTAGATTTTTTTTGATCGTGGCTAGTTGGGGTTCTATATGCCTCACTTATCTGTATGTCTAATTCTTCCCTTCTGTTTGGGAAGTTTTCTGTCATTAATTCTGTGAAGAGCTTTTTTATATCATTTGTGTTTTCTCCTGTTTTTTCATGAATTCCTATCAGTCTTATGTTATTTTTCTTTGTATCGTCTAGGAGTTGTTGGATTGATTTCTCATGATCCCTTACTGTTTTTAATAGACCTCTTTTTTCACGGTCACTGACTGCTATCCTATCTTCTATATCTGAAATTCTATCTTCGCAATCTTTTATTCTGTTTCGTACACTTTCAATAGAGTTTTTAATCTCCTGGATATCTGTTTGAATCTGTTTTATGGATTCCATTTCTTTCCTCTGTTGGGCATTCATTGTTTCCATGTCTTTCTTATGCTGAGTCTTCATGGCTTCTATCACAGTCTTGAGCTCATCTATTTTTTTCTCAGTTTCTGCTCTAGAGTCTCGAATCATGACTTCTATTTTGCTCATCATCTCTCTGGCTAGCTGGGAAATTATTTCTGATTTGAATTTTTCTAGAGCCTGATTGATCAATTTTGTTACCTCCTGTGCTATGGGTCCAGGGAGTCCTGTTGGTTCACTATCAGACTTTTCATCCTCATTTGTCCTACTATTTGCTATTGGTGAACTGGATATTTGTTTTTGTGTCTTGCTTAAGTGTTTTCTCATTTTTATTTTTATTGTTGGGTTGTCCTTCTTTAATTTCTGGGTATTACTTAAATCTTCCTAATATAGTTGCGTTTTAGCTTTTGAGTTTCTAATGACTCATAGACATTCTCGTTTTCATAATATCAGAGAAAACAACTCTTTAAATCAATCACCACTCTTTGTCCCAATTGATACATTCAGCAGCCCAATAGGATCAGGCACAGCTTGCCAACTGACCACTTATGGTAGTCATTAATGTATCACCTTTAACTCATGTGAATTAGATTAATTTCAAGAAGCAGCTCATAGTATGTTTGCAGTGAATATTCTTTTCAATATGGCATCTTTACCATTTAGGATGGGGGGTTCGACTTAGAACAAGAGGATTAGATAAGTGAAAGAATTAGAGCAGGTTTGAAGTGAATCCAGAGGTTGTAGAATTACCTTACTATCTTTACAAAGCTATTAAGTTCAGGGGGGATAGAGAGAGTGCAGGAATAAGGACAGGAATATATCCCCTTAACAGTAACAGGCGCTTGCCTTCCCTTGAAGGTACAGAGCCATGAGTGAGGTAAAATGACTGGAGAAAAGAACATAAAGAGAAACCCCTCCTAAAAACAAAAAATAATAAAAGAAGTCTGAGTTATTCAGGAACTGGAATAAAAAGGGAGATGAGGGACACTATGGTGGAGCAAGAGACTGAGTTGGAGAGAGAGGACAGAAAAAAGAAAGAAATTTTAGGGTGGAAAGAGGAAAAAAGAGAAAAGAGAGAGGGAAAGAAAAAGAATTTGAAGGTCCTCTTTCAGGCTATCTCTGATCTCATATTATACCACATGCACAGTCATATGCGGAACCCAATCCCCTGGTCTTAGCTAGCCAATGGCTGTTCCTCACGACTGAGACTGAACACAATCTACAAGGCCTAACTTTAGTTTCCTTACCCTCAGGGTTGAACTCCACTCCGTTCTATTACAGGTTTCCCCTGCCCTTTCTTTAAAGATGTTCAAAGTTCGGAGCTCAGAAAACTACCCTTCATGGGAACCTATGCCTCTGCAGAGTTGGTCTAAGGACTGGCCCGATCAGGAGTTTTGAGAACCGGGGGGGGAGTCGTGTGGGTGTTTCAAGGGCGCCCGCGCGGCTACCTTCCTTCCTGGGTCTGTTGTCGCGTAGGCCGGGAGCTCGCGCGCATGCCGCCGGTGATCGCAGGCAGGCAGGCAGGCAGCTGAAAAAAAAACCCCTCTGGGGTCTTTGGGGCCTTCCTGTTCTGTTGTCGCGCAGGCCGGGGGCTCCCGCGCAGTCCGGGAGCTCGCGCGCACGCCGCTGGTGATCGCAGGCAGGCAGGCAGGCAGGCAGCTCCATTTCTAGAAATTTTATGTGATCAGCTTCCAAAGCTGTGCAGGCTCTCACAACTTGCTCACAGTTTCTAGCATCTCTGGTTTCTTCTTCAAGTGTCCTGTACGGTGCATCTGTTCCAGTGTCACATGTCCCGCCGGGTCTGATTCTGGTGTCTGTTGTTTCTGCTGACTCTTACTCATAGGATCTCTTTGTGTACTTTCTAATTATTTTTTAAAAACTGGGATCTTGTATTTCTTGGAGCATTCTCTGTGAGTGTCTTTAAAATTATTTTTGTCTGGTGGGAGTTGATATCTGATTCTGCGAACCACATTCGAACACCTCCAGCTTCGTACCATGTTAAGCTGAAACCTCCGCCCGGAGGATGCAGACCCTACAGGAAGAACAGACAAGGTGCAGACCCACTTGGGGGCTGGTGTCTGCTTACAGGTGCTCACTGTCGACTCCTCTGTCCCCCAGTGATGCCGTGCTTGGGACCTGAGCCTGTGCAGTGGAGTTATTTATCTTGGGCCCTTACAGTAAGGGTAGAGTCCTGTGAGTCCCCAGCTTCACAAAGACATCTCCAAAAGACCCTCTGCTTGGGCCGGCATATAATCCTCGCTGTTGTTTACCTTTGGCACTGATGGCGTGGGTCACCCTGTCTGTCATGAAATCCTTTGAGGGCTGGTGTTCCGGAGGCTCACGTGAGAGGCATCCAACAAATGCCACCTGCAAGGGGAGCCTGAAAGATCATGGATCTTCCAACAGGGAGCGTGGGCAGAGGGACCTCACGGCCATTCTCCTCTTCCGGTCCCCTTGCTGGAAGGACAAAGGCCAGGGGTCTTAGTCACTTTCCTCGTTGCTGGGACACACTGCCTGATGCTCACAACTGAAAGGAGGAAAGGTTTGGAGATGTTAGTCCACAGGCGGCCGGCTCCCCGGCAGGGCGGCAGGGCGGTGGGGCAGAGGGCCCTGGCAGAGGAGAGCTGTGCATGGCCTGGTATCCAGGAGGTAGAGAGATCAAGGAGGAGCCAGGCCACACCCCCAGGTGCCCCCCTCGTGGATCAGCCCCTACCCCCAGCAGCATACAGCCGTACTGCCCCATAATCCAGTCACCTCCAGAAGCCCCACCATGAGTGCCTGAGGCTCCCAGGGACATACAGCTGTAAACCATACACCGGGCCAGCGAGCCTGCTGCACTCCGAATTCCGGGGCTCCGGGCCCAGGTGCCTGAGGATGGGAACCCTGATTGTGTTTCAGGGTTGTTCCTGAATACCAACTCCATCCTGGGATTTGTTGGGAGGTACCAGTCCCTTGAGAGGAAAAGAGGAGAGCCCTTGCCTGCAGGGACCTGCAGTCCTGACCCTGGCCATCCTGGAAAGCAGATCCTGCTACGAGCCGGGAAGGTGCTGGGCCCAGGCACGGGCCACTCCCACACGCTCCCACACCCGGGTTGCCACCTCGCTCCCCAGGATGGCTCCAGCTGGGTGGCAGAAGCTGGACCAGGAGGCAGGGAGCCCACGTGTGCGAGGCAGGGGTGGATGCCCCTCCCCCAGGTATGTCATCTTCTCAGGGGCAGCCAAGGGTGAAGGGTAAGCGCCTGGGGGGGAATCAGAGGTGACGTCACCGCTGCTCTTAGTAATGCTTTGGCAGCGCCTGGAGCTCCACCTTGGGAGGGAGAGGGAGGAGGAGGAGGCACAGCGGGAAGTTGTCAAGTCGGCGACATGATGGGGCCGGGCACCTTGCCAGACTGGGCCTGCTGGGCCGGGCCCTCCGGGAAGGAGACCTTGGGAGTCCGGCAGGGGGCTCTGCATCAGACTGTGAGCGAGGAGCGACTCTCAGATTAGTCTGTCTGTCTGTCTGTCCGTCTGTCTGGCTGTCCCCGATCGATGCCCGGCTGTCTGGCTGTCTGACGGCTTATTCCCCTGCCTGCTGCTGTCTGATCCATGGCAGTGTCCCTGGGAGAAGCCAGGAGGGAGGCGAAGACTTCCTGTCCACGTTCGAGAGACCCTGGGCTCTGCCTCCTGCCCCAGCGCAGTAGCCTCCTCTGAGCACCAGGTCCCAGGACGGAGGAGGAGGAGGAGGAGGGGGAAGGGGAG